TATGTGTATATATATGTATGTATGTATGTATATGTAATATAAATATGTTTGTAATGTAGAGGATGCTGCTGAAGCTCGTAGACTCGTGAACAGACTGCAGTGATGATTATTTAGGACACCTTTGATTCTACGTGAAGAGAAAACATGAAATCTGAGCGATCTGATGTTCTGAGTCTCACTTCAGTTTAAACATGTTTAAGATGAAGAAGAAACCTTTTGACTAAACGTTAAAGCTTCTCATGTTTTATTCACGTTTTAAGTTGCTCATAGAAACACGATGTATTAATATTGTAAAAGTCTTGTTTTTAATAGAAAGGTTCTCTTTATGAATCAATAATCTGATATGAATGTTATAAAACGATGAAGACAGTCTGTCTGCCGACTCGCATCAGCAGATATTATATAATCTGTTGAGCTGTTGAAATACATGAATTCTGTGTATTTATATCTAATTGTGTATTAAATGTGAGATATTCTCTGAAAACAGTTTACGTTCTGTTTTCTATAAAAATACTTTTACACAGAATATATTAAGAGCAATAACAAACCAGCTGTTTCTTTAGAAGTAGCTTCAACGAGAAACTAACTCGTTCGTCTTATTGAGTTTGTTTTTTGTGGACGCTTGTTTTCTCCACCAGAACACCCGTGAGACGGCTCAGGCCATCAAAGGGATGCACATCCGTAAAGCCAACAAGTACCTGAGAGACGTCATCGTGAAGCACCAGTGCGTCCCGTTCCGTCGCTACAACGGCGGCGTCGGCAGGTGTGCTCAGGTAACGAGGCTCCGCCCACAAAACCACTGTTTAACCGCTAACGAGCTGCTGTGACGAGCTTCTTAGGACACCTTTGAATTAAAGATGAAACGACCGTTTACATCTGAGCGGCTGCAGAGGAGCTCGGTGTTCTGGTGGAGGAGAGGCGGAGTCTAACAGCTGTTGTTGTTTACAGGCCAAACAGTTCGGCTGGACTCAGGGACGTTGGCCCAAGAAGAGCGCCGAGTTTCTGCTCCACATGTTGAAGAACGCCGAGAGCAACGCTGAGCTCAAGGTACCTGAACGCCTCATCAGCACTGAGTTTAGACATGAGAGATTCTCACATTGTAACTGAGTATAACTATATATGTAATATAAATATGTTTGTAATGTAGAGGATGCTGCTGAAGCTCGTAGACTCGTGAACAGACTGCAGTGATGATTATTTAGGACACCTTTGATTCTACGTGAAGAGAAAACATGAAATCTGAGCGATCTGATGTTCTGAGTCTCACTTCAGTTTAAACATGTTTAAGATGAAGAAACGTTAATATTCATGCTTTCACTTCATCTGCTGAGAAACACTGAAGATGTTTTAATTTGCTCTTAAAAACACAAATGGGTGAAATATTGTAAAAGTCTTCTGAGTTAATGAGCCTGACAGTTCTTCTTCTGTGGTGCTTTAATGGCACCAACCAGCTGCTTATATTTATTATTGTATTTATAGATGAATATATTCTAATTTCGGTCGGCTTTTGTTTTAAATACCTTCTGAATATTCATTTAAAATTTGTGTTAAATTAGAGATAAAATATCTTTTAGCTCTTATATTAAATATTTAATAGTTATTAATATTATGACTTCAGACCCAAACAAATCAGAACTAACTCAATGTTTCTATAGTTACTGTGTGTAGTACTATAGACGGTACAAATACACACTCAGAGTATCTGTAAATGTGTTTTTAATCTGCTGTAAATCTAAAATATTAAAGTTCAGACGTCTGGTGTGGTCCTTGTCTCATGTGGTCTCTTGTGGTCTGGTTTCTTGTGGTCTCAGGGTCTGGACGTGGACTCCCTGGTCATCGAGCACATCCAGGTGAACAAGGCCCCGAAGATGAGGAGGCGCACGTATCGAGCTCACGGACGCATCAACCCGTACATGAGCTCACCGTGTCACATCGAGATGATCCTCACCGAGAAGGAGCAGATCGTGCCCAAACCAGAGGAGGAGGTGGCCCAGAAGAAGAAGGTAGGAGGAGGAGG